TTATTTTATTCAGATGAACTTTTTACTGAAAAAAAATGTTTGTGCATGCGATAGGTGTTCAATTCATCCCATTTATTGTTCAGTGAACGGTACCTTTTAAGTTCCACAGAATCAATAATAATTCAGTGGGGGTAATCAACATACAAGAGCAAAACTTTTCAACAAAATAAACTTTCAGCGTAATTAGGTGTGATCACAGTCCTCTGAAAAAGCAGAACTTTCCTGCCTTTAGATTTATGCAATCATTTTTATTTTACACAACTGACAATATTTCCATCAATTCATATTGCATATTTAAATACCTTACCCCTATGAGCTATGTAAACTTAAGCTGAATTAAATATTAATTTGAATTTAGTGGCCCCACATATTTAAGCCACTGAGCAGTTAAATCTATATTGTGAATACACAGTATTTGAAGTACATTCGCGCACATACAGAACCCAAATTCCTGTTTTTGGACCACCATCTTAATGGGAACTATAAAAATATACAAACAAATTCCCAAATCTGATCCATTCCTTTGGAAAACAATAGCATGGTATTAACCCGTCTCTAAAAAACAATAGCATGGTATTAACCCGTCTCTAAAAAACAATAGCATAGTTTAACCAATCACTAAAAAACAATTGCGATGTTAAGAGCAAAACAGTATATTCACAGGGACAACATCCAGTGATGTTTAAAATCTATTTAAGAAGAAAGGACATTAATTGATCCTCCATATTTAAGATTATTAAATATTATTATATTGAATTAAAACATTTTTTATTCAGTCGATCTGAGACTGCTGCTACCAACGCTGCACCTCTTCCACTACCGTCCTCTGCATGTACAAATTTCACACATGTACTGGGGGAAAGTTCATTGATGGCCACTCTCATGATGTCATGAATTGTTGGATGCTTTAAGTAAAGTGATCCGTCCATGCCAACCGTTGTATTTTTCATTCCTAATTTATCTACCACCGCACCCAATCCAGCCGCTGCCATCCACGCTGCTCGAGTCGATACCACCTGACAAACCATTTTTATAATTCGACAGTCTTCGATGGTTGGTTCAATTATTCCTAATTCTTGAAGAACTTGTTTACAAATTTCATATTTTTCTTCCGCCTCCCTGCAAACAAGTATTAAAGATGATGATATGTTGATTTCTTCAGAAAAGGACATGTAATGGCAATTCAGTTTCCACTAAACAATACAAAGAATTTCTACATTTACACTCAAAACTTGTACATATCAAATACTGAATATACATGTACAGTACTGGGAAGACAAAGAAAAAACACAAAACACCGAAAGAAATTGTTCTTCAAATTATATAATATTTTGTTATAATATATGTTAATACATGTACATTTTTAATATAATAAGAGTTGTAAGTCTCTTACTCTTCTATTTGTGAGATGAACCTCGTCTCAAACCTCGAACGAGTCTGTAGTTCTTTAGAAAGAACTCCGTCAAAGATCAGTTTATGTTCAGCAAGTTGTTTAAGTATAAGTCTGACCACTTCACCAAGATATAGACCAGATATCATTTTCTCAAACCTACAAATGAAAAAAAAAAGAATGAAAGTGCTTGTGGTTGTTGTTGTTTTTTTCGACATTATTTCTGAATAATGAACACCAGCTATCCCCTTTTCACCACCAGACTTTCTCCCCCAAAATTTGTCAGCACTTTTTTCTTGTATTTTTCAATATTTCTGGAAATGAACCCTAATTTTGGATCCAACAGACAAACTTTGAGTCAATTTTCAGTTTTTACTCAGAAAATTTGGCTATTTTTGTCTCAAACTTCTTATAGGAATGTGCAGACAAATGGTTAAGTTGATCAAATTGTATCACAATATACCAATGTAAGTATATTAGAGCTGGGACCAGATTAAACTTCATTCTTAATTTTTGGCAAATCTTGGAAGAGATGGGAATGTTATCAATTTCAGCCTGGAATTCCAGTTGAGTCAGTAACTTATTGAAGGCCGGTATTCCAGTTGAACCAGTAACGTATTTTGGGTCGATATGCCAGCTGAGCAATAAACATATTTCAGGCTGGTAGTTGTACAGTGTGGGTAGCACTGCTACCTGGAAACTGGAAAACTGCCACGTGCACAATGAGCACAGGGCAATATAACC